TGTAGACGGAAAAGGACATATAATTCCAGAGATTAAGAAAGATCCATTTGAAGGAATGAACTTGGATTTAAATATGAACTTGAATTTGTTTAACGATCCTTTGAAATCACTCGAAATTTATTTTCCCAATTTTTATTAAGATCTATTATCTACAATCAACATCAATCTCACAATGAAAATATCATTTGCACTATGAAAATACCATCTTTTACATAGATTTACAAAGACATCATACGACTCACATGAAGTCAATATGTTCGTATGAAGTAGAACACCATGGCGCCAACTAAGTAGGAAGTTTCAATGCCCTGAGCTAGATATAGACAAAAGCTCCAAAAAGACAGAGTGCCACACTTAAAAATCATGAAGACTACAAACAGGAAAGAACATTTTCACTCGTAAAATTGACTCGTACACGTCACACAAGCGTTCTTTCAACGTACGAATGAAATTATCTTAAATGATTATGGGATGACACGGTATTATTTGTGAATTTCATACGTTCAATAATACATATCAATATATGTAGCACCGCAATAGACGAAAGACAAGCTATCTGGCGACGTGTACAAGCCCGCAAAATAACTCATTCTTATACTGCAAAACCCTCTGTCATGGAAAACATTTATATAATCGACAAGGTCTCCTGGAATATGATACACCAGATATTTTTATGCACCCTTATATTTTTGCACATCACTCTCTCTCTCTCTCTCTTTCTCTGTCTATGCCGGTCAGTCTCCAAGGGGATCCCAAGGAGTCCAACGTAAAGGGTCTGCATTGCAATAGATTTCTCTACCGTTCTGTAATTAATGGTTCGGGGTAGACCCTCCGAGTTGGGAAGTAGCATGCGCTAAGAACAATGGAACGTTTCCACCCACGCGCACCCGCTCTCCGGCCGCCTGCCGCGTCGCTCCCGGCGCCTTCGCCACCGCCACCGCCACCGCCACCGCCGCCGCCGCCGCCGCCAGCGTGCCGAACAGAAATAGAGGCGCGACTCCCCTGCATCGCTGGTATATCCCCGGCCTCACGACGTCTGTGGCGGTGGCGGCGGTGGTGGTGGCGGCGGCGACTCGAACAAATCCGGCGGACGAAGTGCGAGCAGCCGGAGTCGCCTTGCACGTGCGGGCGACGTGCCGGCGGGGCGGCGGGGGCGGATGCGGGGGCGGATGCGGCGGGGGCGGAGACGGGCATGGCGCTGCCTGAGGCGCCGCCGCCGCCGCCTTCGCGAGTACGCGAACCTTCTACGCGAACGATGGCGTTCGTAAATAAACACGCGGAAGTTGCGTGACGCTGTCGATGAATCTCCATCAGGCCCCGCCACCTTCGTTTGTTTTCGTTGGCGCACATAGCCAAATTTGGTGCAGTGTTTGTTGCCCTCCGGTCACAGTAGTTCTACTATATAGTTTTGACAGTTCAACGTTTTTATAGTATCCCGTGACTATTCTCCGATTAAAAGAAGCTTGCGGTTGACACTTGTAAGACGCCATGGCGTTTCCGTGGAAACTACCAATCGTAGTTTCTCACTGGCGCCGGGGTGACCGTTCCGATACAGCAAATGATTGTAATACAAAAGTGAATGGCGTAATTATTTTTCTAGAATTGTACGAGTAAAAGCCGTTCAATTCTACTCTTCTTAAAATATATAAATTGTAAGATCATTTTAAGGTTTTTATTACATAAAATAAGATACATCTGAATTGTAGGTATTGCAATTGCCCAAAGACACTACGGCTTAGTCACGGGTAACATTTAAATGGAATTACGATAATAAACATCCTATCGTAAAAATTGTTAGTTAATGATCCGCGAACCAGCATGCATCAACTGTTGAATTGTCAAAATAAGAATAATCGACACCGCACAATGCTGAACAAGACAGGAAAACGTGGATTTAAATATTTTTTTTAAAATGCGTTTTATTTTAAGTACTGACTTTGGTACAAAAATTATGCCATAAGAAAATGGAAAGGCACTCGTGATTTTCAATGCTTTACCTAAGCTATTGTTGGAATGTCCACTATACAGACAATAAATATTGTATCTGTACCTAGTTATAACTAAATTACATTTTTGAACATCTCTGATATCAGCTGATCTGGTGTATACATTTATTCAGGCAGACCATGAAGACAACACAGGAGATCATGCACATGATAAGTACATTCACTTATTATTTCCATAAAATGTTATTTCAGTTTAATGAACATATATGTACATTAAATGTGAACAACTTAACACAATTCACTATTTCTGTCATTGATGAAGGTTTCCGGTGTGAAACACGATCCCACACGAAAACGCTTTCGAGATTAAGAAGTGAACATTTTGATTTAAGGGGTTTAAGTGGGTCACATAAAAAAGACAAGAACAGATAGGGCAATATATGAGCCATAAATTAAACCATTTCAGCATTACAGTGGACTGGATGACAGGAGCCAAAAATTATAGTACCGCAAAAAGACCAATGTTGATTTACACTCTTTTTAGTGGTGAACAGAGCGACATCCTGCGAGTACTTGGGCCGTATTTTCGGGTTGGTTATCCTGCGAACGTGAGGCGAGCAGAGGGGCCAACTCTCCGCCGCGGTGGGCGTGAAGGCGCGGGCTGCGCCGGCCGCCGTGAGGGGTGGGGCGGTGTGCGGGGGACAGGAGCCGGGGGACGGGGCAGAGGCGCATCTGGGCTGCAGCCGCGGGCGAAGGCGGGGGCGATGGCGGGGGCGGAGGACTGCTCGGACAGGCGAGATCATGTTTCAGTCTTGGAATGTATAGCTGGATTTCAGTCTTCGGCGACACTTCGCTCTCTTCTTTCCAAATCGCGTACTACAGGACAATGTTCTACAGGGGACGGGATCTCGGGTGAGCGAGGAGAATTTAGAGAAATTTCCCCGCCATTAAATGACGACTATTTTGTAAACAATACTACATTTGAATGATAAAATGTCGATAAAATATGAAAGCAGATATTTTATATATTATGCAATATTTAACGAATGTTTTTTGATGAGCTTATTCAATTAGTTTAAATGGGCTGATTAGAAATTGACATAATCATACGCTTTAAATTTGACTTTTTTTCTCTTCCCGCAACATAGTTCTGAGGATCTGCTTCTTGTAGTTGTACTTAAATGATCTCAAAGAAATTTATTGATGAATAAGCTATTAATAGTTTGGTAAAATTGCTACATGAACGACAGTACTTTTTTGATACTTTGTTGAAGCATTTTATGCCCGGAATTGTTACAAGAATAGGCGTTGAGAGAAAAAATAGAATGACGCGCTTAAAATAACTTGAAAACGGTATTTTAATCTTGGAACTTCAATTCTCTACAGTTGCCTAAGACTCGAAACACATTGGTCATAAAAATTATCTAGAATGTGAGTGGATACTTTCAGTAAACACACTACACACAGATACTATCCCTTTTAAAGACGATAATATTTCACGTTCAAGTAACAATTTAAAAATACATCTTTTATGTATGCTCAATTAAAACACAAAGAAACCTTTCTCGGATATTTTCCTCCATATAAATATTTTCAACAATAAAATTAGACATATGCAGTGTGATTTCCATTTCCTTCGGAAGTAGGAGAAATCGGAATGCTAACGAGTGCTCTTTTTTCTTTAACGCTCTTTCTCTCACCCCCTTCTCTCCGTCCTTATTCCTCTCCCTCTTTCAGCCTCAGTGCGAGATCGTTGAGCGACTCCGCAACGCGTTCAGCGGCACTTTGCCCACCTGTCGCAGAATATCTTTGGATCTGGTGAGGGTCCAGAACCCCTCGCTGTCCTAAAGGAATTCATTTGGGAAACGACGCCTCTGTTCCCAGATTGTGCTCTGTTGTGAAGACTGTCACTTGTCATTCGCTCGAAGGAATAATATTGACAATAAATTAGCGTCGGCGGAGGGAATTACTTCGGAAGTGACGGCGACAAAATGTATTTCCACTGTTGCGTGAAACTTGCGATCACGGCAGTTTCGCGACCACAAAAAACAGGCACTGGTAAAAATTCTTGAAATTCTGCATACTTTGAACGCTCAGATTAGTTGTTTTCCTCCGCATTTTACACGCTAGCCGTTTCACCAATATTTGAATCCATTCTTAAAATACATAATTCTGTATCTTTGGATAATTTTGGACATTATTGGTCTTGTTTCTTTCGCTCATTTCATTTGGCGCCCAAAACACGCTTCCAGTTTATTTTAACATACATTCATTGTTATTGTCAACTACACTTAATCCTATTTAGCACCCATACGGCAATAAATAACGCATTTATCGAATGCATTTTGAAGTACACACAATAAAAAATAAGTTTTCTGTTGAGGAAGCCCTATCACCTCTACTTCACATTGCATTGTGGACAAAAAAAATGAGAAACGCAAATAATTTCTCTTGCAATCGGCGCACGCGGCCGCTCCCTTAAAAGCCGCTGAGGAGGCGGCTGTCCACGTGGCGAGAGCTGCTTCGGAAGACTGCAGCGAAGGGAGGCGGGGCGGATACCAAGGCGGGAGCGGGGGCGGAGGCGGGGGCGGAGTGACGGAGGAGGCGAGGCAGCACGGGAAGGCCGCCGTTGCCGTCGCCGTCGTCGCCTCCGACGCCGACGCACCCTCGTCGGCGATCCACTTATTCCCGCTGCCCGCCGCTCCCGCTCCCGCCCCTCTTCCGCCCCGCCCCGCCGAGGCGGAGCTCTTGAAGCGGCGCCAGCGCCGATTCTGCTGCTGCTTCTGCTGCTGCTACCGCCCGCACGCGTCACGCCGTGTAATTGTACACGAGTAAAAATATAGAACTCTATGCTTTCCTTAACTCTGCGTCTCCTCGGGAGTTGGAAAAATATCGCTATTGATAGCCAAGTAGCGCGAGGCTACCAAAGGCACGGTGCGGCCCTTCGCTGGACGGCGGCGTGCGTGTGGGCGTGGGCGTGGGCTGGGCGTGGGTGGCGATGGCGGTGGCGTCGCGACGGCTGCGACGGCTCGACCTGGCGACGGCCAGCGGCGCTCAGGCCTCCTTGGCGGCAGCACCGACGTCGTTGCCGTCGGGGTGGCTCGCCTGCAGCGCGAACAACACCGCGTCGTGCACGGCGGCGAACAGCTGCGCGTCGGGGAACTTCCAGAAGAAGTCGCAGTTCACCATTCGCTCGTACACTTGCGCTGCAAGGAAGAGACACGCGGTTAGCGGCGTTGTTAATATCTGGGAGGATACTGCTGCAGCGTGACTACACAATAATACAGGTGTCTCAGAATAAATGTTACAAACGTGTACAGCAAGTACGGGATTTGAATACGATCGTTTTTTGCCAATTAATATGAGGCGAGGCATCTTGCTTAACGAAGTTATACAGAGACATTTGCCTCTGATTAGCAGACGATTCGTCTTGTTCCGGTGTTTGGCAGGTACAAGTAATCTCTTTGAATGCGTCACATGTAGCTGCTAAACCCCTTATGCACGACGAGTTGACTACCAATTCGGAGCCAATGTCACATGTGTATATTTATGGTCAGGACACATTTTTGAAGTATAGTATTTATATCTGACAAAAAAGCTGAATAGAAAAAATTATACTGACAGCCTGAAACATTGACTCACTATTAGTGAAACATCATAAAACAATTAAGTTACAAATGCTTTGATGAACAGGAACTTTTTCTGCTGCACAATGTTGGTTGCGAACGGCTTGAAACATGTCAAGGAGTTAAGGAACAATATGCACAACCATGACGCTCATGTACCGAGCAACTCATTGCGATGCCAAAATTATATAATTTTCAGTTATGAGTAACACAACAATGCTAGAAAAGACGAGTGCGGCTCCAGAGCTGTGCCGTGGCCACCGTTGACCTATAACACCGATACTTCACATTTTACTTTTAATCTATATTTTACCTAACTCTGTACAATATACAGAGGTAGAAAATAAAAATATATTCTAAAGGGTACAATACCCGACGAATATTTCCTAAAGGGTACAAGGTATTGAGATGAAATTTTCATCAAACGATTCAGAATAAGGAGGCTCGTCAGTTGCAGTTATTGGCTTTTTATAGCTTTTTTTTATTTTAAAAATATTGTACTAATTTCGTATTTTGTTAATGGAACACAATACTTCTTTTACACGAATAGATAGTACTTGAGAAGACAAATTCAACAATTCCATATACTTAGTATTTGTCGAATAATTAACAGTTCAAACGAAAATGAAGTCTGGCATTACCCGAAATGTAGGTTCTTGTAGTTCATGGGGCGCAGGGCAGTGTAGCTACCTCGGCGAACAAATCGGTCGAATTTCCCTATGGAATGTCTTTTATCAACACCAAATTATTTTTCGGAGAATGAATTGCGGTCTAAATATATTCGACTTTCGTATTCCTTCTCCCATGAAAGACAAAACACTTCGCACCGAACAACACCATTATTAACTCTTCCTGTGAGTTAATCCCTTCTGCTAACGAAGAGGGGAAACCTTCCACGAATATAAATGTCATGTATGGGACATAAATGTCCCTTTCTATACGCGAGGGTAAGTTCGCACCTCGTAAGGACTTGTCAGTGTCTTGGAACGTTGAAAGTCTTTTTAACTATGGGATGTAAACGGCTCAGTTGGAGAATTCAAGAAACCACTGTAAGGTTACTGATGAACCCCCTGACACCCCAAATCGTCTTTACGATATGGTTGAGCTGTTTAGAAGTCTAGATGTCTGATGAAACTGCAGTAGAATGGAGTGTTGCACACAAAAGGGTCCAGCAAAACAGATTTCTTTGTAGTGGAGCGCAAGATATCTTTTTTAAGTTGTAATGAGTTAAACATTACAAAACCAATTAAAACCTTTTGAAAGCATACTACATTTTATATCCCCATTTATTTATTCAATTGATGATGCCACCAATGCCACATGATAAATTGAATTATCTTTTTCCACTTACACCTCCTGAGCTCATAGAAACCATCAAAGAAGCCCTTTTACAAAATGTATCTGCATTCACAAAATCATGTATTACTGCTACTAAGCTCTTAATGATTATCAATAAGTTTACAATTCATTTGCTTGTTTTCCAGATTAAATTACTAGTATTTCTAATACAGATGTTCAAGTACAAAAGTCTCTGTAATTCCATCCATTGACTACATGAAATGTAGTCAATAAATGTACACAGGAGGTGTTAGGAATAAAAGAAAGCATCACACAAGGAACAAAATAGAAAATAAACAATAAAAAGTCAAGACAGTGTATTGGAAGAATTCCTTTAAACAATTCAAAATATAAGAAATTTATATGCAGCAAAAAAATTATTAGATAAGGACGTTTGTTTTCTTAGTTATTAAGAAAATAAAAATGAGCCTGTCCAATTCTTGCGATTGAATTTAAGAAGGAATGATGGATAACAAAGACATGAATTTCTTTTCATGTGACTATCTTATAGCCTTTTACCTGAGTAAATAAATCAAATGCTAATAAACAAGATTCTCAGAAAAAAATGTATTTCCTACAACTGAGTTAATTCAAAAGACACCATTGCACAACACTCTGGCTCTCAGGAACATAAAATAGTTAATTCTTACTCTTAACATACCAATTATTCTCAAACCAGTTATACAATTAATGAAAACTGCAGCTTGACTTACCAGAACATTCTGCCAAACATAATACTATGCCCTTCACTTTGAAATCTTCATAAATTGTTTCCATCCCCTTCAGCGAAGAAGGATCCACAAAGCAGACTGACGACATGTCCAAAATAAGGAACTTAATCTAAACACAGGAAATAAAATTGTTTTACTATATTTTAAAAGAAATTACCTGAATATGTGGTGTCATCTTATATTCTAATAACACGTAAAATTGGATAAAAGGAACAGGAGTTTTCTCAGATGCAAGCATGATCATGACACTTCTTGCAACACTGGGTCGCAACCTCAATTCAAACCATTTCATATTTTGAATAAATGGAAATAATTGAAGAATTCAAGTCCAAATAACGGTAACTAACATTTCACGTTTTGTAGGGAAATGCAACATGAAACCGCACTTTTAAACATACTGAGGCATAAGCCATTACATACAAGCGAAATATCACTGCCATTGGTTGCCCATTCTTAAAATCATTTGGAATACAGATAACTTCTCCCTCTCCTTCATAAAAGACCAGTAAACTTTCTCCAAAATTTGGTACCATTTATTTAAAGACAGACACCATAAATATTTTTTATTTACTATTTTTTCCCCTCACAATTTATCTATATTACTAATTTTCAAATGTGTGCAGACATTGAAAGAAAACTTGCAGTCTGGCCATTTCAGAGGTGCCTATGGTTTTGTCAGATACCAAGGAACATGGAAAAATCCAAAAACAATGAAATAGAAACAAACAAAAATTTGATTGTGTGATCCCACATATTATCACACTGCACATACTGATGTTTTGTGACAGCAAGACTCCAATCAAGAGGACTTTGTCATTAAATATGTTATTCATGAGCTCTGTTTTGGAACAACTTTTTTGGTATTCTTAATATATAAAGAACTCTTGTACTGTTTATTTGAATATACTACAATTACTGAAATAGTATTCTTGAAAAGTATTTTTTAGTAACCAGTAATTAATCTGCAATAGAGTGGTGTAATATTTTTAAATTGCTCATTCTAGAAAACACTCTAGAATTGACCCTTATCAATAGGAAGTACAATCTTTACAATTTCATAAAAAATAAAGCTCTTATACATACATCTGAACTGTAAGATACTCTAAGGAGATCTAAGGAGATCTATAAATACATTTTTTTAATAAAATAATTTTACACTTTCAATTCTGGTACGTTGCTGTTGGATTATGAAGGTATGTTATGGAACGTATCTTCTGTATGCATTTATCTACTCACATTTCTTAAAATAATATGAACTGTAAGAATAAAAATGATTCATTCATTACAAATGTTGTGTAACAAAATTTCAATAAACATTTCAAATTCAGAAGTTTTGTTTAAATGTGAAAATAACAAAGAAATTCATTAATATAACATGAGATATTCATTAAAATCATTCAATCCCTCAAGTCTTAGACATAAATGATGTTCAAAAAATACATTCACTGTGATTTCATTTACTCTACCAGAATTATTCTCCATTTATTGCATAACTTTCAAAACATCATTGTCAGTGCTAAAACACACTGAGGAGCTCTATTCTCTGCAGAAGTTTTCTTCTAAGATATTAGCCTTCTACCTTTCATTTCTTTTTGTAATCATTATTATGAGCTGCCTAAGATAGTACCTCTAGTATTATTAACATGAACAATTTTGATTTCTTGAATATTGCATTTTTTTACGTGTTTTCAGCTTTCTAATGACGTTTGTGGCTGATGATGCTTGGAATAATTCTGAAAATAAAATCATAGAGACACTGAATTGTTTAAAAATTAATTGAGTTCTACCAATCCATTAATGATATTATTTTCTTGTCAAAAAGAAAAATATTTATAAAGTGCAAAAATATATGTTTTCATACTACTGATCAAAGGCAGCTGTAAAGTGTAGATGAAAACCCTATAAACTTAATTTTTTATACTGATTTCAACATGTTTATCAGCTCAGAAAAGCCATTTTCCCTATTTTAAACACACTATCCACTTCCCAGTTTGTAAGTTGTTGTTTTATTTCTTTTTATTTTCTCATTCCAAATTTACCTCTTCTTGTTAACTGAAGATTCACATCTTCTGGATTACTCTCATGCTCTCTCATGGATTTTGTTGAACCCATTATCCTCTTTTCAGATTCACATTTTTGCATTTTCTTTGTTATGATATAATCTTATATAAATTCAAGAAGAAAAATATTTATAAAGAGCAAGCTAAACTAAACTTTGTAGAAAAGAGAAAGAAAAGAAAAGAAAGAAAAAAGGAAAAGAAAAAAGTAAAGAAAAACCTAAACATAGGTGAGCAGTCTTGACAATTTTGTAAGTTGTAATTACCATAGATCATTTTGTTCACTAATCATCCAAATACACCTTTTCCCAGCAGATTAACTTATCATTTGCCACAGAAACTAAGTGCAAAGGAAAAGTAGTCTATCTCCTGTTTTCCAATTCTATTTTCCATATAATACGAAAAGATAAAAACTGTTCAAAGTACATTCCATTTAGTAGTAGATTCTCTTCCCATTTGTAATGAGCTGCTAACTAGGCAAATATATTTGAACATGTTTTTTGTTTCATGTATATAAACCAAATAAAAGAATATTTCAAATCAATATCTGAAGACATGGATGGTCTTTTGAAGATATTTGAACAAAATATTTGATTTTGTTATATTTTATTATAGAGTTAAACATAGAGCCTTGTGTTTCTCATACTTATTCTCAGTGAGATATTCTTTTAATTTTACTATGCTCTTGAATTAACAGAAAAAATACATTCAAAATTGTTTTAATAAAATACATCTGGAGAAACAACAATCAGACCTTTTAATGATTCAAGATAGTCTTAAAATCGCATTGCAGAGGTCAAGATATTTATACATCCAAATGGAACGACATTTGAGAACAAACAGATTTCTCAATCACTGTACAAGTAAAATAATAGTTAGTGAAACAGATGACAGTTCTTTAGAGATGGCAGAAAACTATTGACACCTGCGCTAATACCTATGAAATTCTGGAAATAACAATCAGCAAATTAGAGGAAATGATATTTTTTTTTATTTTTAAGCATGAAATATTCAAAAACATTATAAAAAGAAATTGAAGGAAGAATGAGCAATTTGATATGAATTTATCTTGTATTTATCACCACTGATCATAAGAATGAATTTATTGCTTTTCCAAAAATGGATTTTCCTCAGATGTAATATTCTAAGATAGTCCTCTACAGTATTTGTCCTATACAGTTTAGGTGTTAGTGTTCGCCACATACAGATGTTTTGCTACAATCAATTTTTCAGTATTAAGGAACCACAAGACATGGATTCTGACTACACAACATGTTTGAGGAAGTACTTTGTTATAGGAACACAATTTATCCACCTTTTTGTTACTAGAGCCGGACAATACGAGTTCAGTAAAATCACAGATTTCTGCCACAGCACTAAAATTCTTTCTCTTTACTACATAAGTGTGAAGAAAAGTGAGAAAGTACACATGAATTCAAGCATAAACTATTTCATGAAGTGATAAGAAATAATTTTGTATTAATTAAAGTTCTATAAGATTGATGTATATTCTGCTCTTTGTGCAAAACAAAGTCATAAAGCCATTTCATTAATAATCTTTTAAGCATTTTAAAAAAATGTTATTTAATGCATTGATGTATGAAAAACAGCAAATGAATTGTCACATAGTATGTATTCTGGTGTGATTTGATAGGAAAAATTAAGAAAAATTGGAAATTGTAACTTGTAAGCAACAACATCGGTTCATTCACTAAAATTGTAGAATATATTACTATGAAGGTAGTGGTAATTGTAGCATTCCCATTTTTTAAACTTAATGTATGTTAGTTTAGTTAGGATCTTTTATTTGGATTTTGCCATTAGTAATAGTTTCATAGATAGCCACAGTCTTAGTAAAAAAAGAATCAACGATCTGTGATTTCTGAAGAAATGCTAAAAGATTTCAGTTTCCCTTACATAGAAGAAGATGTTGCTAATGACTTATTGTACCAATGTATGATGTGTTGAGCAAAAACTGATAAAAGAATTCAAAATTTTAAATATAAAGATTATAGTCTTGGGAAGACAAATAAAATATTTGCTTTTAATTTGTAATCAAAGAACAAAATCCATTGTATTCTTATGTGTATCAACTAATATTTTACATTATGCATGAAAAGGGGCACCCCCCAGTAAGATAGTAAAAGGTTCTTTAAAATCAAATGATATGTGAGTAGTTAAACTAAAACTCTAACGTAAAAATAAGATTTCAGAAACGTTTTTCTTTAGCCCCCTTTAGTCCCTCTACAGTCAACTTTACAACAACAACAACAACAACAACAACAACAACAAAGAAAAAAGAAAAAAGGAAAAGAAAAAGGAAAAAGGAAAAGAAAAAAAGGAATTTTCAAAAATACTTTTCCAAATACAAATACAAATGAAAAACGTTTCAAAGAATTAACACAAATTAAATTTTATACTGTCTAAGAACATGGGAACAGGTATGAAAAAAGCTCAAAACTTCCTCTCAAAGCAACGGTTGTTGTGAATTTCTTCAATTACTGGCCCCCCTAAAAAAAAAATCTGTAGTTGTTTCAGACTAGAAAAAGGTTATATTTTTCCTTAGCTGAGTATTTATTATTTTATACATATAAATAATTATATAATCTTGACATGTAAAAAAACTCTACATTATTAAATTATAGTAGTTTTAAAACTGAAAATTGATTTAAAGTAAAATATAAATTTGAACAGCAATCCTCCAAATTGTGCATTACAGCATTACAGGCTCAGTACTGTATGAGAGAAACAAATTCAATATTGCTCATTTTTTATGTATATTTAAAGTTTAAAATGGTTTTGAAGGTAGGTAAAGTACGAAAATGTATTTTATTTTTTTAAGTATGGGCCAGTAATCGAAAATGTCTGACAAAAATTTCATAATAACTGGTCTTTTGAGATTCTTTTGTGCCTGTTCCTGTTCTAAGACACAGTAATAATTTATTTTTTTAAGTTTTTTCCCAAAATTGTTTATTTTATTTGAATTTGGTTATGAAAAATATTAAGAAAATATTATAAAATTTACACATACGCTTCCAAGGCTTGAGTACAT